GGCCGGCCCTGACCCCGCCGCGAGCCGAGGCCTCTCACACTGTGCCTGAGGCCGCCGGCGCGCCCGGGGCGGCCTCAGCGTCATAGTATTATATTCTAACCGTGCTAACTTGTCGAGTGCAGACTTTACCCCGTTTGTACGTGGTGTTATTATTGAAATGTATTGTTTGAGCTCAAAAGGCCCGACCCCCTTCGGGCTGATATATATATATATATTTATTTGTAGGTATTTATATATTGAAATATAAAAACCTAGATTTATGGAGTCCCCTCTAGATAACGTTATATTCTATATCAGACGAGCTATTTTCTGTTCCCTCCGCCCGTCCGGGATTTCGGTTGACTCCATTTCTCCCCGCAGGGCCTGCGAGACCAGTAACCTTGGTATATATTTTTTGATACTGTACACATGGGTGTGTTGTTTCTATGTGCAAAAAAAAAGTTTGTTAAAAGGCTAAACGAGCTCTCTAGAAACTGCTGCTACTAGAAATGTCTAAACTATAAGCTTCCAGTTATTACCTGCTTGAATGTAAATATTAAATGGAGATGTCGAAGGTGCATTTTCGCTGTTTGAGCAGGGAGGCGGGAGCCCGGACCCCCCTCCCGGTCCTGCCCCTCCGGCTCAGGGAGGAGCTGGCACCTTCTGTGCAGAGATTTTTGCAAAAGCAAAAATGGGGGGGGGGCGGGCAGGGGCTTGGGAGTGACCCCAACCCCAGAGGGCCGGGAAAGGGGAATTCCTGGGGGGGGGCGGGAAGCTTGAGCCCCTCCCCCCAGCACAGCCCACCCCGTGCTGGTGCCCGGCTGGTCACGGAGGGGGAGACTGCCGGACTGGGGCCTGGGTGGGGCTGGGCGGCACCCAGGAGGTGGGGGTGGTGCTGCCCCAGCCTGGTGGGGTGTGTCTTCCTAGTAATCCCTGCCCGGTAGGGCAGGTTCCCCGACAAGGGTCTGTCTCCACCTCGCTGGCTCCCAGGCTGGCAGCCAGCCCCGCCCCAGGAAGCTGGGGGCGCTCCCTGCCAGGCCCCTTCCAAACATGGCCAGAGGCTGCAGCTGGGGGCCACGCGGGGCGGGGGGCTGGGGGGGGCTAGCCAGCCAGGCAGCCCACCCCTGTTTCCTCCATTAATGGGAAGTGGTGAGACCCCAAGTGGGTGGTGAGTCTTGGTGGCCCCGGGCAGGAAGGGGTTAAGGACCCAGATGTGGCAGGGAGGGGGCTGAGCCCCACCGAGGGCGCCGGGAGTGCCCTGGCCAGACCAGCTCTCCCCAGGCTGGGTTGACTGCAGCTCGCAGATGGGGGGCAGATGGGGGGGCCCAGTGGGCACTGCGGCTGGCCTCTGAGGCCCTGCCCGCCGCCCGCCACCGCTGGGCGCCTCGGGTGGTGGAGAAGGTCAGCTGGCTCAGACTAGGGGTGGGGGAGAGCAGGGTGGAGGAGGCCGGGAGAGAGAGGGGCCAGGAGGGCGGGAGGCCTGAATGTGGCCAGTGTGGCCAGCGCTGGCAGCGGGCCACCAGCGCTGGAGGTGGGGGAGGGGAGCCAGCGGGAGGGAGGGAGGGAGGGAAGTTCTAAAAAAAACCGTTGGGAGTCTCTAGCGGGGCTCTGTGAATGCCCCTGCCTCTGAGCACCCCAGCCCCCCTTAGAGTGAGGCGAGCGCCCCCTCCCCCTCCTGTAATGAATGCCCTTTGCCACCCTGGGAGCCAGGGAGGGGTGGTCTGGACGCTCCTGGCAGGCTGCCCGCAACAGCCTGCCCTCAGCAGCGGCTGCACAAAGGGACGTTCCAGGGGCTCGCCCCAGTCCTCCCGTGGGGGAGGGGCAGCGAGGGGGGCCCTGCTCAGAGCGGGGTTGGGACCCAGGGCCCGGCCCCTTGGGGTGGCGCTCTCACCCAGTGGGTGGCCCCTGCCAGGCTGGGCCTGCGGGGTGGGGGTGGGGGAACCCTCCACCCCGCTCCCCCAAAGGTGGGCCTGCCTGTGGCCACAGGCCTAGTGGCCAGCGGAGCTGCTGGGGGGCCCCACTGCCGAAGCCCCGAAGCAGCCTGCCCCACCTGACCTGCGAGGTGTTGCCACTGCCACGGACCCTCCCTGAGGCACTGGCCCTGGCACTGGGCAGGGCGCTGCGGCCAGTTTCCTGCGGCACTCCCACCCGGGGGCTGGGCCTAGCCGGCTGTGGGTGCCCGGCAAAGTCAAGGGTCTTTGGGTCCAAGTTCTGGGGAAGAGAAGGAGAGTGGGAACCGGGGGTCCCCGGTGACTCGGAAACGCGCCCCTTGCTTTTTACACCAGCGGACCTCTCTGAGGAGCCAGGTGCCTGCTGAAGGCCCGCAGGCTCCCCTCCCTCTCTCCTGGGCCCCTCTCCCGGCCCAAGAGCCAAGTAGGGTTTGCTTCCAGCATGGCTCCACCCCTGGACCCCACTGGGGTGCCCTGGGGGGCTGCCAGACTGACAGTCTGAATGCAGGAGGCCCCGCCCTGCCGGCGCCCCGCTCCCGTGCCACCCAGAGACCCAGTCCCGGTGCTGCCTGGACAGCCCCGGCCGTGAGGTGAGGGCCGTTGGCGCCGTGCAGGCCGCGGAGAGCTGGACACGCGGCTGGAGAGTGGGAGGGGGCCGCGACGAGGCCTGGGCTTTCTTATTTTTTAAGATGTTTTATTTAAGCACCCAGGTGGGGCACAGGCCAGGGGCGCAGGGGCAGGGAGCAGGGGTGAGGCCTCGCCAGAGGCAGAGCTGGAGCAGAGCAGGCAGATGGACAAAGCCCACTGCTGAGGGGCAGCGGGGAGCAGGAGGGCTTGGCCGGCCCTGGGGCCCCTCCCTGGCC